TTCATTGTTTCAAAAAGTTCATTGTTTATTACCAAAAGAGGGTAAGTGTTTGATGAGCTCTTTAGTGGTCTTCTCGTCGTTGAGATATATTGAGATGAGTTCTGCGGCAATCATTCGGGAAGTGGTCTCCTGTTCGGGATCGTAGACCACTCGCAACAACAAATGCCTCAACCGAGGCGTCAGTTTGTCATTAGTTCCCGACCACTCCAGACATTCGCGCAGAGCCTTCATCGCGGCTATCGATTCTCGTTTACCAATAAGTGAGTGCTTTTTAATCGCCTGATAGACACCATCTCTGATGAGTCCTGTGTTGCCGATGGCGTGAAGAAATACCACTCGACAGTCGGTCTCTTTACACGAATCCAATTCTGTTGTCAATTGTTTTATAACTTTTGTCTAAACAAAAAATAAATGCAAAATTTGAAATAAAAACTTTTTGAAACACTCCTCAAACTATCGTACGATTATTTCAGTATTTTTGTGGCCATTATTCTTGTGGTCGTAAACGTGTGCTCTGAGAAGTGTGGCCAGTATTAAAAAAGCCGTTTGTTTCAGTTTCTCGTTCTTCCAGTTCTTGACCTGAGTTTGTTTGAGTATTTCTGCCATCACTTCATCGGCCGATACGGTGGCCGAAGAGATGGACTGCATTTGCGACGCTGTCATCACAGAAGTGGCCAATTGTACTAAAAATCTCTCCCCGAAGTCCAAGTCTTCACTCTTCGGTAAATTCAAGTACTCTAAAGCCGTGGCCACTGACTGTTCGGTTCGCGACCCTTTGCGCCGAAAATAACAGACAATTAGTTCCGCAAAAAATAATAAAACTCTTTACGGATCAAATACCGGCCAAAATGTCGAGAATAGATGAGACGATATCCTTCTTCTTTTTGTAACTCTTAAGTAATTTAATCATATCTTCTTTTGAAGCTCCGGGACCTCCACTCCGGACCCGATCGATGAGTTTGAGATACGAAATTGTCATCGGAATGGACGCAATGGCCTCGCCTTTGAGGGACGCTTCGTTGTCTTTGATGGCATTTTGTAGTGTCTGACAGTTATGACACGTTTCCATCTCTGGTCGAAGAATTGTCTCAATGTTTATGTAATTATCGCCTAAACTTTTAATAATATCCGACACTGAGTTTGCGGTAATCTTTTCGGTAGAAGACTTAGATTCGGACAATAATTTGAGTGAAAAACTAATAAAACAATTGTTTTGTAAATTAAAATTCATAGTTTTTGTAAACAATTAGTGAAACCAAACCTATTATGAAGTTTTGAATGCGCGGAGGAATAGATTCTTGACTGCAAAGTGATGTTTTGCCAGCCGTTGGCGCTCTCGACCATCGGGTGATCGCTGGCCAACTGAGCGGACATTTGCCACTCGTCCGACATATCGGGCGACAAAATTGATTTATAGTCAGTGTTTGTTGTGAATGACTTCTTATTGATTGTCAGCCCATCTCTCGTCCATTCATATGATGACTAAATAATTTGAAATCAAAGTTAGAAAAACAAAATCACAATAAAATGACAAAACAAACCTTTTCGGGTTCTTTGGCCCTCAAGTGTTCCAACAATGACTTCTTGAGATTGGAAGCGGTGGTCGTCTCGGACTGATGGACAACCACTCGCTTGACATCACCGGTGCTGTCGATGTGAGCGAAGAGGGGGTGATTCCAGTCGTTGATGGCATTGCCGTCACCAAACTTGGCGCCGGTTCTGGACTTGAACTGACACGACTCGATGGTCACCGACAGGAGATAACCGCTGGAGTCCTGCCATACGTTCTCGACGGCGATCACGGAGTGGACACCGAAACCGGTCGGCTCTCTGTAGTCGTTGTTATTCATAATGGTTTCGCTTTTATAGCCGTATTTGTATTGAACGCCAGGAAGCGGTCCATAGCATAGGAGACCTGGTGTTGGGTGACAGCAGACGCACACAATTATCAGATAAAAGTTTACGATCGCAAACACCACATCCCATAATGATTGCATGATTGCACACTATGTAATATTATTTGTTGGTTAAACTAGATCACTTTTCTCATTCAATTAACATAGTATTCAATATTAGCGCAAAAACAATGCGGAAGTTTCGGTCAAAAAAGGAGAGGAGAGAGAGGAGAAGTTTTAAACGTAAAAATAAGTTTCACGTGTATTGCTATGGCTTGAAAAAAGGTAAACTCAGGTGTAGTAGAAATACAACAACTTTGCAAACCATCTAAAAGTTGTCTTTTCTCTCTCTTCTCCTCTCTATTCGTGAAATTTTTTTGAACTCTATTTTCGAAGACAAGTCGTGTTGTAGTCATGCCTTTGAGGTGTTATTAACATAAGACTTAAAACTCTGCTCAAAGTTTGGGTGAGTTTTCTCTCCTCAAGTACTTCACGGTTTGATTTAAAGCTCCACTTATTATAGTAAGAGTCCGACACTTATCCGGATATGTATGGCATTTGTGTATCAGAGATACTACTCATGTCTCTTCACTTTTTCTTAATGTTTCTCTCTTTCTCTTAACTCTTTATTTGTATAAATACTTTGTAATTATAGTCACTAAATGTTTAAGTCTTTAGGTTTCACTTTATAACTACAAATTATAGCTCTTTTTAAATATAATTTATGTATAAATAAAATAATAATTGAGTGATTTTTTAAAAGGTTTTATGGTTTCAAGTTTGCAAAATAATAATAAAAAGTAACTAAAAAAGTAAATTAAAGTTAATATATATTTTGCTATAGCTATATAATGGTCGAAAAATTATATGAAATCGTAATCGAAATACACATTAAGTTTTGTTGAGTGAAAAAGAAAACATTTTCTCTCACTTTAAGGTGAAGGTCGAGAGAGAACACAAACTCGTTATTAAAAGTGGTTTTTGTGGCAAAAACTCTTCTCGACTCTAAAGTGAAGCAAATTTTTAATTTTATCGTTTGGTTCCCGACTTTTGTCGGAAGAATTGAATGGAAATGTAATGAATGTATTGTTTGAGAAGAGAAATACAAAAACACAAAACAATTTTCCCTCAAAAAGAGTCGTTTATCTCAACGAAAATGAAAGGTTTACTCGAAATACAAAATTAAAGTAAAAGTTTTTGAGGAATAGAAAAACGATTTCACATTTCAATAGAAAAACACTGTATTTTCTAATGAGATTTAAAATCAAAGAATTATCGGATTTTTCAATTCAATTCACTTATAATCATAATCTGTAATGAAAATTGAAGTTCAAAACTAATTTTGTTTGAAAAGTACTTTTTGTTTATAATAGGAATTGTGATAATTATTGTGATAGTTATTTGCTGTGCATTTTTCCAGACACGAAATGTCAGTACAAAGGTTTGTATGAATTATATATTGAAGTTTAAGTTGAATAAACTTAGGACTCAATTAAACTTATGGTTAGTTCGCTGTGAAAGACGTGACATTTTTTCTGATGTCTATGTCTTTATGCTATTGTTATTTAGAAAGTAATTCACATTTTAAGCTCGTTTAGAACTGCAAGTAATGAACGAGTTTAAATATATTTCATATTGAAATCAAATTCATAAATATTTATCTAAAAAGTAAGTATCAATTGATTGTAGACTCACCACAAAATGTGTTCACAAGTGATATGACAATCAAATAAATGCTCAGTGAATACATTATTCACACGTTGTCTGAATTCAATGCAATGTTAATTAAATTATTTAATTTCAAATTCAATAATATAATAGTTTGTCGAATAGATGTCAGACTTAATGAACAAATTATATTAAATATACATTAAAGACAATTATAATTGTTTGATAAAGTGTTGATAAATCAATGCCGGCATTAAATTTGAATTATATTTTTGTTTATTACGTAAGAATTGCCAGACTTTTAACGCATGGCTTAAGAGTGGAGACAAAGTCTTGTGGAAAACAACTTATAAGAAAAACCAGATTTTTTTCCTCTGGTTTTGGTTTTGGCGAAACAACACTTGAAGTGAAGTAATAAACCAACGATTCCTATGAGTCTCTCCTTCTCTGGCAATGTCTTCCTCTCACTCTTCGAAAAACATATTTATTATACATTGAAATGAAAAATCACTTTAACTTATGATAAGAGACTTCTAGTGATAAATAGCAAACTTTATACAGAAATATGAAATGATAATAGTTTTGCTGAGTTTTCAGTTCGCCAAATAGTGTGTATTAATAGAATATTAATGATCTGTACATTTGGTTCAACAAATAAGTTAATTAATTAAAGTAAGCATTTTTAATGTGTTTTTTCAGTCAAATATATGAATCAATACATGTGTATAAATATATTGATTTGAAATTCCAACAAATGGCCAGAATATTGAGTTTTAACTTTGAATTTCACTATCATTTGCTAATTGTATTAAAAATTGTTCAAAACAACAAAAAAATTTCCTTTTAATGTATTTTTGAGGAAAATTGCAAACAAATTAAAACCGAGATTAAAGTAAATCAGAAAGTTTTTCATTAAATGCACAAAAAATTATGTTATCTAAAATGAAATAATAATTTTTATTTTTCATCCATTTATTCCAATAAAAATTCAATTAACAAATCGTTAAATCATATATCGATTCAATTGGCACTCAATTATACATACATTTTGTTTTCTTAAAAGTAATACAACAGTATTTTAGTATCAAATCGTTTACAATAAGTCTCATAGTCTTCAATAAATGTCTTAAAATGTATTTAAAACACGATTACAAATCTCATACACTCTTTTGTAACCACTTGTGTGTGATTTTTGTTTAATTCAATCAAACAATTATTCAATTTAGAAAAAACATTTAACATTAGTTTAAATTGTAATTTATATGACATTCAAGTCCTGAAATATAATTGAATCGACTGTTGTTCACAAAACAACTCTCATTTCATATTTATAATAATGAATATAAAATAAATCTTATATTTAATAAATTTCTATCAATGAATTAGTTATTTAAAGGATTTCTTGTGTCAATTATTACAGCAATTATTATATGTTATTATTTGTATTCACAATATTTTTTTTTATAGGAAAATACTCTATATTTCATTAACTAATTTAATGGACATTTGATTTTTGTAATATATTTATATAAATTAACATTATTTTTAAAATTTACTTCAATTAATACAATCGTAATAATTATTTATATAATTTGTTAATGAAATGAAATGATTTATATATTTTTTAAAACATTTTTGCAAACATAATGAATGGTTGTCTAAATATTATCGTTAGATCTGTTTCGCTGATCAGACAATATATTTATGAAATTTATTTTTACACATATATTATGTAAACTTATATTTAACTAATATATAAATTTAGATCTCATTTTAGTCTTTCCGCACAGAAATCAGATTTAAATAATGATTTTTTCTTTCTCTTAACAAACATTTTTATCATACAATTTCTCTTATGTTAAGTGTATTTATAATTTTTGGTTTGAATTCAAACGCTGGTGTAATTGTGAAGTGCAATCATAACTAAAATGTATGTAAAATGTATTTACAAACACAATATTTAGCCTAAAATATTGTCATATCTTTTATATATTTCAAACAGAAATCACATTTCAATCAAATGTTCACAAAAATTACAAAAATGTTTTCCTCAATCATTGATAACACAATTCATTAAAATATTAATTTCTCATCAAAAAAGGTATTCACTATAAAAACTGTTCAATTATTGTAAACACAAGTCTTTGGGAAGAAAATGTCAAATAAAGTTCTCAATTGATTGAAATAAACAAGTTTTTTGGTTATAATCATAGAAATTAAAACATACAAAAAATAAAACAATTTTTTGGTAACTTTTTTCTAATGATTCATTAGATTTGGAAGTGAAATATTGACGAAAATAAAAATAAGTATTTTTAAAATAAAACAATTTTTGAAATCACTTTAAATGAAAAACAATTATTTGTCTGAAGACATGCCATTACAAGTAAATCATTGATTAAATAGTAAACTAATCATAATTTCAATGAACACATTAAATAATAATTAAAACGAGAACTAATAATGTTTCAAAAAATATCCTCTCATTTACAATATATCGCAAAAAATATAATAAAACAGAAAAAATAACAACAAATTCGCGAATCGATAGCAAATCGATCATAAGTTGACAAAAATAACTATAAAAGAGCACACCTTTCGCTAATAATATAGAATTTATATTATAATAATCAATGAATATATCATTCATTAAACATAAGACCGAACCCGTCAACAAAAATAGACACTTTTTGCCATTAATTTTATGTCAAAAAAGTGTTTGATTGAGAAAATTAAAAAACAAAATATTATGAAATATTAAACATAATGAACAAAAAAGGCCACTATTTTTTCAGCACATCTCTCGACAGATTGTGTTAATTGTTTTAAGTTTTTTCTATGCCTTTAATAATAGTGTTATTGTATTTGTGTTGTAATCTAATTGAAAAAACTAATATAAATAGAGGAAACGGTTCTTTAATTTTGAAACAAAAAACAATTTTGTGTTACAATTAAACGCTATAATTATTTCAATTATCTCAACGCCTTTTTCTCGTTCAATTGAAAGCACGCTTTCAATCAATAATATTTTGCAATTAAATGTTTAGTGAATTAAAATTAAAAGGAAATAAAGATTACAAAAACTAAGGAATAAAAAATAAATTAATTAAATATAATTACAAATTACACCAATGATTGCTATAATTAAATCCGAAATAATTGTATTTATAAATCTAATGACTAAAATCTACAACAAATAGATATTTACTGTCATCAGTGGTTGACTATTGGAAAACAACTACAAGTCTATAAACACCATAAATAGAGTTAAAAAATAGACACTAAATACACAAATAAATAACTAAATAAAAAACAAAAGTAAATTTGGGGTAAAAATCGGTGGACAACCGATTCTTCACAGCATTTAATCACAAAACTTATTGATTTTTAACGCAACGATAACAATAATTTTCTCAGTTTATAATTTATTTCAAGCGTTAAATAAAACTTTTCGCTTCACTTTTTTACACTTCGGTGTCGTCGCGCTTAACACTCGTATAATTTAAATGTCATTTGATTTAAATATTTTGTTTTGCTTATGAATCGTTTGATACAAACACTATTACCTAATATAATATATGAGATAAAATTTAATTAATTAATTTGTGCCAAATGTGGCGCTCAATGATTGTGTGGTCTGAATCACGCCTGTTGTGTCTGAAGTAAGCGTTGAGCGGATCGACGTTTGCGGCGAAATACTCGCGGCCACGGAAGCGGCCACGAGAACGATCGGGGGATCATTTGGCCGAACTGATTGTCCGTACGGTCGCCGGCCATCAACCGGTCGGTCGTCGGGTGACCCGTTTCGAAGAACACGAATATTTGGTACCACCAAACACGGGACAGGTAGTTGGTTGACGGCTGGAACTGTATAAAACACAAACACGTTAGACACGAGAGAGAGAGAGAGAGAGAGAGAAGGGGGAAAGACTGGTATTTGGATTCATAAGTATTAGTGTCAGAGAGTTCTCTCGCGTAACCGGAGGCGAGAATTGCGTGAAATTTAAGGGGAAAAATGTGTTTGAAATGAAATAACTGTGAGAGGAATGCGAGAAAAGCCATCGCAAACACAGAACAAACAAAAACACGTAACGAATGAATACAAACCCTGAGAGAGCTGTTGTTGGCGAGCGTGTGATAAATCCAGAAGATTCGTGTTGTGGCGAAGTATGCGATCACTATATCGATAAGATAGTGGCCGCGGGCTATCAGTATGCATATGACTCCCGTTAGGGTCAGTGCGATCAGCAATAGGTTAACAAATTTCCACAAATATGTGCGACAACGCGATGGTATGGCGTACTCGCGAAACATCAAATAGGCTAACGTCAGGATCACTGTGTGTCCGGAGTATATATAGTCGCCGCAGAACGAGTGCCGGCCGTTGATCGACAAACCCATTCCCAGACTCATGTAAAACACTCGCGACGCTATTATGGCTATGAACTGACCGGTCGTCACATTAGACGTCGGGTCACTCGAGTTCCTTAACTGTTTGGGTTTGGAAAGAGATTACATTTTAAAACACAATCGATAAAAAAAATAGTTAATTATAAGTTTTACAAATCATATCTATTTCGCCAAAAAGGCGTATAATTAGGAGGAAAAGCAATAATAATAAGTAGAAGACATTTGGGAAACATGTTTATATGTTTGATGAGAGAATTTCAAGGAAAAAATGCCAGAATATATATACAATTAGCAGTAAAAAGTGTTGACAAAACTATTTACGCTAACTATAATAAGGTCAATGCTTTTCCCTCTCAAACAAAAACGTTTAATTAAATAATTATATTCTCGACATTGAAAGAGGAAGGGATTGAAATCAATGGCTGCCCTCTCTTTGCAACACAACTTTTGGCACAAAATCACTGCTATATTCATATCATAAACGAGTCTTGAGATTCAACACATTCTTTGCATGTATTTATTTCTTTAATCATAAATAAAAGCTACTGTTTATTGAAATGCAAACATCATTTGACTCCCCGAGCGATGAAAAACATATTTATTATGCATTAATACTTGTGTTATGTTTTAAATGTAATTATAATTATAATATTGTGTTACCGAAAAAGTATTGTCAGTTAGAAAACTGTATGTTTCAGATAAACATGTCTTAATGATAACAATATCTATTATGCCATTAACTCATTATCTATTTTTTCGCATTAAAAATGCAACAAAAACTTATTGTAAAGAAAAACACAACTTATTATTTCCTCCTCTCTAGCGATGACTTCAATGAATTTGAATTAATGGTTATATAAAAGAGAAATAACGAAATACAAGTACTGAATGAATCATTTGGTAAATGACTTGTAAATGTAATCTTAATTATTCATAACCATTGTATTATGCAATCAATAAATCCATAAATTTAATTAAATGTAAATCCATTATAAATGCCTTCGCATTCATGTATAAACGTCTTCGCCGTCACAATGCGGTCGTCCGGTAATGATTGCTATACTTTTATTTCGACACAAACTTTGTTTTTCATTCCCTTTTTTATGGCAAATTTCTATTCAAAGCCACTAAACCTTAAACCCAGACAACAATTGGAGTCTTCATTACTACAGCATTTGATGTTTTAGTTATTTTTATTGAATCTATTATTCAATAGTCTATATAATAGGCGATTTGAAGGCGAAATGCCTGTACTATGAACTGGTACTCCATATCCACGATATAATGTATCAAATAGATTACGTAAGAATATAGTATCAAATTCACACAATTGTGTTATTAATCTTTTGAAACATTATTGCCATACAAGAGATGTGTATTCAAATGCAATCAATTGTAATTTAAATTTTATTACAATTCCGACAATAATGTAGAAAAATGTAAAGAAAAACTTTTAATAAGTATTTTTGTTGTGAAAATAACTGTAATTATCCGTAGTATTAGTAACGACTGAATAACTTTATATTTCATTGAATAAACAAATATTTCATATAATAAACAAAAAATATTTCATTCAAAATAATAACAAAAAATACATTCATTTCTCGATTTTAAATATACGGTATGTTTTTTGTGAACATATTTTCAAATCGTATTTCTATTTTGTTTATCAAAAATTGTGTGAAAAACTAAAATAATTTTTCTGATAATATATTTTTGACGATAAGTTAAAGGCATTTAATCGCATAAAAACCAATATAATTGTGTGATATAAACACTAGCGTACAGTATATGCCAGAAAATTTAACGCTAAAATTTTAATTTTACCATTATTTGCATTAAGTGTTTGCCATTTCTATATCACAAGTTTTGACATTTCATTTGAATGGCAATTATAAGTGTGCGTCAAAAAGGGGCAACACTTCTCTCTCAATGAAATCGATGTTTTGATAAATGATTTCTACAAATATTTAATTAATAACCGAAAAATAAAAATCAAACCATTTATTCAAAACCGTTTATTTTCTGCTAAAACGCAAACAAAAATTGTTAAATGTTTTACTAAACACTCGTTATAAGTGTAATATAAGGCATAACTATTAGGAATTTAGAAAATTGAATTTTTCTGCAAAACTCAGAGCAAATATAATAAATTTATTGTTGTTTAAGAGAGAGAGAGAGAGAAGTGTTGCCCCTTTTTTGACGCACACTTATAATTGCCATTCAAATGAAAT